ACTCCCTGCCGGGGGCAGGGGACCCTGGCGGTAGCAACTCAGGACACAGGAAGCAGGACGGTGCTTTAAAGGGAAGCCCCCACCGACAGAAGTGAGCGCTGTTCTTGGAACTTTCACTCCAGAAGTACTCTCTGAAGAACCATTGCAGGAATGGGCGCTGCCAGGGAGAGCGCCCCCTGCAAGGGGGGGCACGGCCAAGAGGGTGCTCACTGCAGAAGTGGGGGGGAGGCCTTGCCAGGGGGCGCTCACTGCAGGGAGCGGAGGAGGGGCGGAGCACCACCGGGGTCGCTCCTCTACGGAGGGAAGGGCGCCCCTGGCAGAGAGGCTGGAGCAAGAAGAAAGAGGAACTGGGCCAGGGAGAGCTGACTCAGTCTCTCTGGTCTCCTCTTTGGTCCCCGCCGGCAGGAGGCCCGGTCTCTGTGCTCCCGCCCGCCGCCTCCCACCCCAGACCCCTCCTCCCCTCCCGCTGCTGCCGCCGTTTCCTGTGGCTGAGACTCTCGCTCAGCCATGAGCTCACCGCCCCTAATGGGTTGCAGCTGCCTCGCTACTCCAGCCCTAGCTCCCCCTTCCCGGCCTTGGAGCCGACGGCCCACTCTGCCTTCACCCCCGCCCGTCTCCACCTCCCCCCACCCACGCGCACAGCGCCCGGGAACACTGGGGGTCTGTCTGCTCGCCTACACACCTTGGGGCCGGGTCTGTGCGCTGACGCACTAAATGTCTCCAGAGTGGTTGCCCTAGCTTCTCAGACGGCCGAGACAATCGAGCCACTCCAGCTGGACGGACTCAGAGAAAAACATGCAATTTTGTCTAGAGGCAAAGTCAGGGCATGGGGGGAGGGGTGGGTAGAGAACAAGGTAGAGGCTGCATCGGGCATCCCCCTTCCCCACCTACGGCAAAGAAATCTGGTCAAGGGAACTTAAAAGGCCACCTGGAAAGAGAAGTAAGTTTGCAAAGGAATAGCCCGAGGGGTGGTTGTTTAGGGTGTGGGGTGCAGAAAGTTGTCTCACTGATTCATTTAGGGAGGCAGGCTGAGTCTTTTGAGAAGGCCGCTCCCTTCCTTGGAGAAAGGTTGGCAAAGAGAGGTCACACGGGAATCAGAAGGGAATCAGAAAAGATTTCAACCGGAATGCTGACATGCCATCAAGGCCCCCTCCTCCCTTCCCTACACATTCCTTTTGTGGCTTTTTCCTCTTTCAACTGCCCCCACCCAGTTCTTTGTAACCCAATTCCATATGCTGTAGGAGTGGGTAAATACTAGAGCCACACTGGGAATGGGAAGAGGGGTGCTTCCCAAGGCAGTCACAGACAGTCTTTTCCATCTTCCTTCTTCCCACCAAATGACCATCTCTAGGATATAATTGTGGGTGCTGGTGCCTCCACTTAAGATGGGGGTCTCTGGATAGTGGGTCTTGTGAGACGGGATTTGCAGAATGGCTGTGTGGAAGCCCCCGTCACCCCCTCCGAAGTTCTCAGTCATCTCAGCCAAAGTTCTCAGCTCATTCCCCTGATGGCCCAGAAGTCAGTCTCTTCCCTCCTGGGAGGGCCTATGCAATCACCCCAATTCGCAAGCACTGGGAACTGCCCTGATCAGAGCATCCAGAACAAATCCTCCCTGGATCCCCAAAGCCAGGTTCTTAGAGCTCGAGTGTGGAGTGCACTGCTAGGTTTGTGCACTCTTACTGACCCAGCCCCACTCCCGTCTGGGCTCACTCAGCCAGCATTTCCTAAGTGTTCGCTTTTTGCATGCACTGTACAATGGGGGTCCTGTGCAGCCCCCAAGGAGCCATGCTTGGGTGATCTCTAGAGGTCTGTAGCCTTGTCCTATCTTCTCCCAGGAGCCTGAGCCAGTGGAGGACTGTGTGCAGAGCACACTCGCTGCCCTGTACCCTCCCTTTGAGGCGACGGCCCCCACCCTGTTGGGCCAGGTGTTCCAGGTGGTGGAGAGGACTTATCGGGAGGACGCACTGAGATACACGCTGGACTTCCTGGTACCAGCCAAGCACCTGCTTGCCAAGGTCCAGCAGGAAGCCTGTGTGAGTGTCTGTACATCGCTTTTCTACCTGCCCTGAGATTCACTGTTTAACTCTAGAGACTAGCCAGGCTGACTAATTTCCCCCACCCAGAGACAGTCTTCCCTCATACTGATCCTTCCAGGGGTACTTACGCCTCATTCGCTGACTTCCCACAAATTTTGACCCTCACAGACACTGATCACACAGAAACACACACACACATACACACTCATCTTCCCCAAATTTTGACCCTTAAGAAACACTGACTCCCAAAGACCCTGACCCTCCAGACCCAATTCCAGACATTTTTCCCTCTTCATATGAATTTCTCAAGATAATAACTCCCCCAGACATGACTCAACAGAGATCCTTCACTTCTACAGTTATAAAGACCTCTTAAGTCTTTGATTCCTCCAAAAAATGGCATCTGCTGACCATGTCTTTGTAATGATTCCATTATTACCCTCCCACATATGGAACTAGCTTCCTAGAGAAGCTTCCTACCACCAGAAGACTGAGGAGTCCCAATCTCTTCCTCTCTGCCACAGGAACACCCCAAGATCTCCCCTTCTGCTCCCCTGGGATTATAACCCCCCCCAGGCATCATGCCAGTCCTGCCTAGGGTGGACTCATTCTAACTGTCCCCTCCTACTGGTTTCTTCAGCAGAGGCCTGAATGCAGCCTCCCACCTCTCTCCCCAGGCCCAATACAGTGGATTCCTGTTCTTCCATGAGGGCTGGCCCCTCTGCCTGCATGAGCAGGTGGTGGTGCAGCTAGCAGCCCTACCCTGGCAGCTGCTGCGCCCGGGAGACTTCTACCTGCAAGTGGTGCCCTCAGCCGCCCAGGCACCTCGTCTGGCACTCAAATGTCTGGCCCCAGGGGGTGGGCGGGTGCAGGAGCTTCCTGTGCCCAATGAGGCCTGTGCCTACCTATTCACACCTGAGTGGCTACAAGGCATCAACAAGGACCGGCCAACCGGTCGTCTCAGTACCTGCCTACTGTCTGCGCCCTCTGGGATTTCACGGCTGCCCTGGGCCGAGCTCATCTGCCCACGATTTGTGCACAAAGAGGGCCTCATGGTTGGACATCAGCCAAGCATGCTGCCCCCAGAACTGCCCTCTGGGCCCCCAGGGCTTCCCAGTCCTCCACTCCCTGAGGAGGCACTGGGCACCCGGAGTCCCGGGGATGGGCACAATGCCCCCGCTGAAGGACCTGAGGGCGAGTACGTGGAGCTGTTGGAGGTGACGCTGCCCGTGAGGGGGAGCCCAACGGATGCTGAGGGTTCCTCGGGCCTCTCCAGAACCCGGACGGTACCCACCCGAAAGGGTGCTGGAGGGAAGGGTCGGCACCGGAGACACCGGGCATGGATGCACCAGAAGGGCCTGGGACCTCGGGACCAGGATGGGGCGCGCCCACCGGGCGAGGGGAGCAGCAACGGAGCTTCCCCTGAATCTCCACCGGGAGCTGAGGCTGTCCCAGAAGCAGCAGTACTGGAGGTATCTGAGTCCCCAGCAGAGGCCCTGGGTGAAGCCTCTGAATCTTGTCCCCTGAGGCCAGGGGAGGTTGGAGGAGGAGCAGGCCAGGGGGCTGAAGGACCACCTGGTACCCCTCGGAGAACAGGCAAAGGAAACAGGAGAAAGAAGCGAGCTGCAGGCAGAGGGGCTCTTAGCCGAGGAGGGGACAGTGCCCCCCTGAGCCCTGGGGACAAGGAAGAGACCTGCCACCAGGAAGCCCTTGTCAACCTGCCCTCACCAAATGAGCAAGAGCTTCCAGAATGCAGCTTGGTTAAGGAGGAGCGTGAATGCTCTGGGAAGACAGAATCTGAGCCAAAAGAGGAGCTCAAACCAGCAAACGAAAAAGAACCCCAGCCCCCAGAGGCCCATAGGCCTACAGAAGAGGGGGCCACAGAGAGCGAGCAGGAGGGGCCGAGCCTGGTGTGTATGGCAGGTGAGATGACACTGAGGCCCATTGGGCAAGGCCAGGGAAGGTCGGACCTATGGGAGGGGGCTGGAGGAGGAGCAGGGATCAGGCTGAGAGCAGAAAAGCCAGACCTATCCTCACCTTGGGCCCATAGCTCTGTCTGTGTCTGTGCAGGGCACACAGGCCCAGAGGGACTCCTACCTGACCCCCCAACATCACCCGTGGAGACTGTGCAGGAAGGAAAAGGAGACAGCATTCTAGAAGAGTCCCCTCCAGTCTCTACCTCCGATGACCCTGATGTAGCTTGGGACCTGATGGCATCTGGATTCCTCATCCTGAGTGGTCAGTGGGCATCAGTGGGTGAAACGAGAGGGGACTGGGGAGAGAAGCAGTTGGGGTGGGCTTGTGGGGGAGGCAGACAGGGTGGAAGGGAGGGAGACAAGTTTGCTCCCAGCCAGGACAGCCTGGCCATTTTGTGTCTTCAGGAGGGGTGGACCAGAGTGGGCGAGCTCTGCTGACCATTACCCCACCGAGCCCTCCTGAGGAGCCCCCACCCTCCCGAGACATGCTGAGCACTGCTCTTCATTACCTCCACTCACTGCTCAGGTAACCGAGGCCCAGCATGGCACCCTGGACACTAATTTCTTGAGTTATGAGGACCCTGACCTCCTTTTCAGGACACTGACCTTCTGACCTCTAGGACACCTACTTCTTCAACCTTCAGGTTTTCAAGTCATTGACCTCTGCCCCTACTGACCCCTGACCTCCAGGGTAATATCTTCATTGATCCTCTTCGTTGATCGACTTCTGATATCCTACCATACTACCTAGATTATCAAAACATTGGTTCACTCATTCAACAAATATTTATTGAACACCAAGTACTTATTAGGCACCACACTGCAGGCTGATACCGAATTTCTACCATCCTAGAACAGAATTCTTAACTTCTCAGACCTTGGTCCCTTAACCCAGTACCCATATGAATGTAGAGTCCTGATTGCCAGGTCACTAACTCTTAGACACACATCCCAGAATGTGGTCCTTTGCCCTCTTCTTCCCAAAGGTACCAGGAACTGACTTCTCCTAAGGACTACTAACACTAAAACCAGACCCCATGTCTCTGCCTTGCCTCATCTGCTGTCCCCCAACACACACACACACACACACACACACTGCAGCCTCCTTGGCCCTTCCTGTCCCCATAGGCCTGATCTACAGATATTGGGGTTGTCCGTCCTGCTGGACCTTCGCAAGGCACCCTCACTGCCTCCAGCACTCACTCCTGTCCTGAGTCAACTTCAGGTAACTACCCCTTGAGACAAGCAGTTCCCCCAGGATCCTAGCTCTTCTTTAGTGTCCATTCCAGGCCAGGCCACCCATGTGCCTAGAGTTCAGGGTTATTCTTCTCTGCCCTCAGGACTCAGGAGAGCCTCCTCTCATTCAGCGGTTGCTGATTCTCACTCCTGATGACCCTGCAACTGAACCCTATGGATTTCAGGTTTGAGCCCCTCACTCCCAGCTAGTCTCCCATCAGTAGTGGAGAGAAGGGAAGAGGCTGGCTGGAGCCCCAGGCTGGTCTGTGAATCCCTGGATGCCCAGACAGAAATCTCCTGCCTTCACATGTCTACAGCGTGCTGAACTGCTGTTGGAGAATGATCTGAAAAGAGTAGCCAAGCCAGAGGAGCTGCAGTGGGTCTTAGGCGGTCACAGGGACCCTTCTCCCAGCCACTGGGTAGAGATACATCAGGTAAGCCTTGCCTCCACCACTTGGGACACTGGGGAGCCATGAATGACCCAGCTGAGGATATTCTAGGAGAGAAGGCAGATCTAAGACACACCATAGGGTGACGAAAAAGTTGTTTCCATTCAATTCAGCAAGTATTTATAGCTCCCAAATATTGAGCAAAATATTGTACATCGTGCCATGGGCTGTTGAGGGAGATGGGAGGAGTATTTAAGTGAATTCTTAATACAACAAAAAGTAGCATATGATTCTTAAAGGGAAATAAATAATGAGACAAGAGTGCAAGATAGTATTACTGGGTTTCCTGAAAAAACATTAAGAGTCAAAAGGCTGGTTCTTCTTCCATGTGACCTTGAACAAGTTACTTTACCTCACTTCTGGAGATGGTACCCTTTCTGTACCTGCTCCTTGCACCAGCATCCAGGCCTCAGGCTCCTCATCAGCAAAGTGCAGCAATGGTGGCATGACTTCTAAAGGTCCTTCCAGCACTTATCTTCCCTGATTCTATGAAACTAAGCGCGATGAGTCTTCAAGAAGAGAGAAATAGACATGATCTGAGCTGAGTATGAAAGGGGGTTTGTAGCATGGTCTCGCATTTCCCCTTTGATGTCAAAGGGGAAGTAGATCTGAGTAGGCAGAGAGGGGGTTTGACAGGGTGAAGCCCCAGTGCAGGCAGAGGAAAAGAAGGCTCATAGTTACCAAGCTGTACAATGCCCCAGGCCCATGCTAGCTGCTGAGCTGGCATTCTCTCTTTATAACTCATAAAAGCCTGTCATATCCTGACTTTACAGCTGAGGAAACTGATGTTCAGGAAGGCTCCTGAACTTGCCCAGCATCATACAATTAGTAAGCAACAAAGTCAGGGATTGAACTCAGCATTGCTTCCATCAAAGTCTCTGGGGCGGCCTCACCCCCACCCTGGGGCTCAGGTTCCTTTCTAAACTCTGATCCTCAACTCCATCCCTGTGTCTGGGTTTTAGGAAGTGGTAAGGCTATGCCGCCTGTGCCGAGGTGTGCTGGGCTCTGTGCGGCAGGCCATTGAGGAACTGGAGGGAGCAGCGGAGCCAGAGGGAGAGGTATGAAATGATATGGGACGATGGGGGATGGGTTAGGGATGGGGCTAGGGTGGAGACTCTCGGTGGAACCCCAACTGCCCACTGCTACCTATCCCCAGGAGACGGTGGGAATGCCTGAGCCCCTGCAGAAGGTGCTGGCAGATCCCCGGCTGACGGCACTGCAGAGGGACGGGGGGGCCATCCTGATGCGGCTGCGCTCCACCCACAGCAGCAAGTACGAGGGATGGGTGTGCGGAGGCAGGTGGAAGTGGGAGGTGAAGACACAGCCAATGGCTGCCAACAAACTTAGCTGCCAGATCATTCTTACTATGCATGTGTCTGGGCAAGATACCATGCTTTTCCACTTATTATCTCACAACCCTCACAACATCCCTATGTGCTAGTTGTCATTACAAATGAGGATTTGAGGCTGTGAGTAGTGGCTCACGCCTGGACACCTAGTGCTTTGGGTGGCTGAGGTGGGAGGATTGCTTGAGGAGTTCAGAGTTCAGGACCAGCCTGGGAACATTGGGAGACCTCGTCTCTACAAAAAATACAAAAAGTTAGCCAGGTATAGTAGTGCGCATGCCTGTAGTCCCAGCTACTCAGAAGTCTGAAGTAGGATTGCTTGAGTCTGGGGAGTGTGGATGCTGCAGTGACCTAAAGTTGTGCACTCCAGCCTGGGTGATGGAGCGAGACCCTGTCTTTTCTGTATTTAAAAAAAGAGAGGCGGCCAGGCTAGTGGCTCATGCCTGTAATCCCAGCACTTTGGGAGGCCGAGGCGAGAGGATTGCCTGAGCCCAGGGGTTCGAGACCAACCTGGGCAACTTAGTGAGACCTCATCTTTACAATAAATCAAAAAATTAGCTGGGTGTGGTGGTGCACGCCTATAGTTCCAGCTACTTGGAAAACTGAGGCAGAAAGATCGCCTGAGCCCAGCAGGTCAAGACTGTGGTGGCTGTGACCATGCTGCTGTATTCCAGCCTGGGCAACAGAGTGAGACTCCGACTCAAAAACAAAAAAGAGAGAGAGAGGATTTTGAGGCTCAGACATGTTAAATACCTTGGCCAAGGTCAGTCAAGAGTCAAGCATTGGCCGGGCTCGGTGGCTCAGCCAGTAATCCCAGCACTTTGGGAGGCCGAGTGAGTGAATTGCCTGAGCCCGCGGGTTCGAGACCCGCCTGGGCAACTTAGTGAGACCTCATCTCTACAATAAATCAAAAAAATTAGCTGGGTGTGGTAGCGCATGCCTGTAGTTCCAGCTACTTGGAAGGCTGAGGCGGAAGGATCGCCGGAGCCCAGCAGGTGGAGGCTGTGGTGGCCGGAGGCGTGCCACTGCACTCCAGTCTGGGTGACAGAGTGAGACTCCAACTCAAAAAAAAAAAAAAGTCAAGAGTTTGGACTCAAACCAAGGCATTTGAAATCTAGCCTGTCCTCTGATCCATGATGCTTTTCCACCTCTCATGCTTGCAACCCTTAAAAGGGCTCAAGGGCAGAATCGAGGGACTCCACAAGGACAGTGGTTCATCCTATCCCGCTCCTTCCCCAGGCTAGAGGGCCCAGGCCCAGCTACACTATATCAGGAGGTGGATGAGGCCATTCACCAGCTTGTGCGCCTCTCCAACCTGCACGTGCAACAGCAGGAGCAGCGGCAACGCCTGCGCCGACTCCAGCAGGTAAGCCAGGACCCCCATACCTCTCTTACTCAGCTTAGGAACTTGGCCTCTAGCACCCCTCTTTTCTGCTTCCAGTTGATGGTGTTATTGTAGCCTGGCTTGGCTGAATACCCCTCCCTCCCTCCTCATGTCCCCTGGAGGTTGGTCATGGTCAGTGTCAGATTCAACAAGAGGGTGGAAACATCTCAGCACCAGCAAAGAAAATAAGCCAGATCTCCCGCTCCCCTCTGTGTATACTTCATCAAAGGTCTTTAGAGTTTATAAGAGATGCTCAGGCACCCTAGGGAATCTTGGAAAGAGCTGACTGACTTTGCAGTGCCTGCTTCCATAGCTTAAAAATAATAAATGCCGCCAGCCTCCGTGGCTCAGCCTGTAATCCCGTGCCTTTGGGAGGCTGAGGTGAGTGGATTGCCTAAATCTGCGGGTTCGAGACCTGCCTGGGCAACTTGGCGAGACCTCATCTCTATAATAGATCAAAAATAAGCCGGGCGTGGTAGCGCGTGCCTGTAGTTCCAGCTATTTGGAAGGCTGAGGCGG